TGTTCTCAAGACAGGCGAGCAGAAATAAGAGATCCATTCTCTCTGCTAGCCGTGTGTCAGTAATGCTTGCCCTGAAAGTACACTTAAGTGTTGGAACTATCTGATATAATATATTGCTTTTACTTCAGGTGAGTGCATGGCAGCCAGGTCTGTGTCATCTGAGGAAAGATCAAACATATCAGGACAAAGCAGTCCTGACGCTCTGATCACCGTCATGACAGAGATGTTCATTTCAGATGAGAATCTGAACAGGATGGAGAACATTTTGGACACCTGGAGCACAAACCTTAAGGTTTGTCTTGCAATTGTATGTTTTGCACCATTTTGCTGCACACCGTAATGCATTATAGGAACTGTTTCTTGGTCTGTCTGTGTGCAGAGTAATGTGATGATGGAGCTGAGGAAGTGGAAACTGGCTTTTGTGGAGCAGCACAGACTGGAGCTTAAGAAGGAGAGGGAGAAACATGCAGCACATGTGGCTGCTGTAAATGCTGAGATGGATGGTCTCAAAGACCTAATCAACACTTACCAGCTCTCTAACCAGAGGAAAGATGAGGTGTGCACAGATATTGAGACAAAAGGCCCATTCACACCAATGACGATAACTATAAAGGTTAAGATATCGTTCTAAATGCAAAAGGATAACAAAGTCCACACCACTACTATGACCATGGCACAGAGAAACGATATTGTTGGAATCGCACTCAATTTTATCCAGCTGATGAACGATAACATTGACAGCCAATCATAAAACTTCCTGCTTTAAAGAGCTAGACATTTTAAGCGGCAGATGACTAAACTGCAGCATGCGCTTAGAATAAACAGAACAACATCGTCCACTGGTGTGGACTAAGCTGCAACCTTCTACCTTCTCTCTTGAATCCAAGACGGAAGTGACTTAAATTGCAGTTCATCAACTGGGCGTTAGAGACAGGCTACAAAAGAGAATCAATCCTATAGACCTGTGAGGGGGGTGAATATATATATATATATATATTTTTTTTTTTAGAACTTATCCATTTGAAATTATATTAAGCCTTAAAGTTCAGCATAATTAATGGTGTGGCCACTTGAGTGACAGTTGGATTGCCGCTGCGGTCACTACTAGCCGTTTGTCTGCTGTCTGTTAGCCATCAGTCACCTCAGATAATCCTACCTTTTTGCCCATTTTCGTTTATCCGAGAGTGACGCGCTGCCAAGATGGCAACAGCTGGCTCTGCCCACTTTGAGCTTCAAAAATGCTCTTCAGAAACCTGCAGGTGATGTCATGGACACTACATCTATATTTTACAGTCTATGGTGTGGACTGGTGTGGTTAGTGTTATAGTTCTCATTATTGGTGTGAACATGCTTTAAGTCAGAGATGTTATTTATTGAAACTAATTGGCTGGTCCTGCAGTATTAGGCTAGTTAACATTTTGAGATATTAGTATTGAATATAATAAGATACCGGTGCAAAGTTTTGGGAAATAGTATATAAACCGCAACACAGAATTTGTCATTCAAAACACAAACACATGTGACTCTGACTCACAATTTTCAACAGGCTGTAAGTCTCTGTTTTCCAGTCTGTCATATCCTGCTTGGCCTTTGCCTTCTGCAGGTGATAGTGAATCTGAGCAGGGCGGTTGACAGGCAGAGGGAGAAGTTGGAGCTGATGAGGAGTTTCACCCAGTGGAGACTGCAGCAGTGTTCTGCCAGAGAGGAGGTGAGACGGCCGGGGCAGATCTGACTGACTGCACACACACACACACACACACAGGGCAGGGTGTTTTCAGACAATGCTGTTTACTCATGTCAGATTGAGATTTAGTACAGGACAGTTCACTCCAAAATGTAAATTCTGTCAGCAATTTACTCACCCTCATGTTGTTTCAAACCCATAAGACTGGTTAATCTTCAAAACGCATATTAAGATAATTTTAATGTCCCTTCATTAAAAGTCCAGGTTACCAAAAATTACAAGATCCAAGGCATCCTAATATGAATCTATGAATTGAGTGGTTTAATTCAAGTATTGTGAAGAGATATGGTTGCTTTATAGGTTTAGGTCTTATGGATCTGAAACAACATGAGGGAGAGTAAATTATAACAGAATTAGTTATTTTTGTGTGAACTGTCCCTTTAAAGATGTAAGGAAGCCAAAACAACAGCAGTGATGTTTTTACAACCTTTTGTGAACATGACTTCTTTCAAAAACAAGCCTTATTTCAATCTTATGAATCTGATCAAATGCATGTCTCTGTGTTTTAGGCACAGGGGGGCAGACTGGCCGAGCAGCACTATCATTTGCAGCTCAAGAGGAAGGTGTGGGCAGGCTGGCAATCGCTCATCCAGAACAGGTGGCGGGAGCGTGTGGAGAGAGCATGTTGTGCCAGAGCAGAGGACGTCTGCATGCAGCTCTCCACAAACTATGAGGCCAAGATGGCACAGGTTCGTGAAACCCTTGTGAAAATTTTAGTGATAGGTCTTTTATCTTAGGTGTTAGTGATTCCATGTTTAGTAAGTTACTGGATGTGGACATAACATGAAATGATGACATAAATCTTGTTTGTCAGCATGTAGATGAGCTCCAGAAAGCTCAAGCTGAGATCCACAGGCTGCGCACGGAGCGAGAGCTCTACGAGGACTCTATGAAGAAAGCTTTCATGCGTGGGGTCTGTGCACTCAACATCGAGGCTCTTAGTATGTTTAACACTGGAGAAGCGGGTAGACTGGACCGTGGTAAGACAATAGAGTGATTTAGTCCAATTAAGGTGGGGATGATTACATTTATGAAGGCATGATATAGCAGTTTAATATGATTGATTTTTACATAAATGAAGTGCGACAGAGTTATGACGGATACTCCACTATACAAAAACATTTTGAATGGAAAAAAAAAAAATCCTATTTTCAGCCTTTATTTTTGTGTGTAGATGTTCCACCTCCTGGGGACGAGCCAAGCACCAGCTCAATGGCTAATCACCCTCCACGTACAGTCTCGTCTGCACGGCTTAGTCCAATTGTCATGGAGAGTCCAATACAGCCGGGCCCCTCCCACAGCAATACAGACAATGTAGAGGCGGTAAGACATGCAACTTTCGATTCTAAACATTTTCGATTCTAAATGATTTGTTGAAACCAGTAAACATGTTTTGTACACTGCTGTCAAAGTGATTTGCATTTGTATAGGATTCTCTTCATTTCAACATCAAGTTTGGAGCATCAGTCAAATTATATATATATATATATATATATTTGTGTGTGTGTCTGTGTGTGTGTGTGTGTGTTTTATGACAATTGACATTTATTCAGACTAATTTCAGCCTATGAAATCAAACTTTGCATGGCCAATATTACTGCTGATGTTTATGTATAGATAATGATTGACTTTAAAATCATTATGAAATTAAAATTGACCTTTTTTATAGAATATTGTTGTAGTCATTATAAAGGATTTTTCCATGTATATTATTTTCAAAATGTATATGCCATCTTCGCAATCTTTAATCTCTTCTCTGATGACGTTTACTGGCGGGAGGGCGCGTGACAACCAGTCAGTCACTCATGAGATCACAGTAATAGTAAACCACTACAATCCAATCAGTTACCGATGGACAAAATCAAGTCCCACCCTACATTTTTCTGGTTTAAGAAACAGTTTCAATATGTCGCGAAGAAAAGACTATCGCAACTTCTGTTTTATGCTTACTTCAAGGACAAAAATATATATATATATATATATATATATATATATATATATATATATATAACTTTAACATGACAATCTATCTTTGTTAAATTATTATTTGTATGCATTGCTCTCTTTTCAGGACCAGTTTCTCTCTCAGCCTAGCTCAATCACAGGCCCAAGAGCAGAAACCCTTCTCTCCACCACAGTGGTGAACTCTACCGTTCCACCAGGGGGCAGTACAAGCTCCTTCAGACAGGTACCGTCCCTGGAAGCATATTTCTGAATATTTTATATCAGCCTGCTGAACCTGTTTCTGAGCTGCTTTTCAAAATGCTTGTGAAAACATTTATACATGTGTATTGTGTGTGTGTTCTGAAAACTACTTGCTTCTAATATGTTCTCTTTTTTAGGCGAACGCACGGATAGTAACAGCTGGCAAGCAGAAAGCCTCTAAGACAGTAACTGCTCGTTTGACAGGAAGGGCAGAGCATAACCGGATGGGCCGCCCCCCTACAGCCCTGCATGTCATGGGTGTGGCTCCTCCCATGAGCTCAGTTGTAGTAGAAAGACACCACCCTGTCACTCAGGTATAAAGGAACATCCCTACAAATGTCTAAGTACATGTGATGATATCAGAACATTAAACACAGTAGTGAGTGATCATTCCATTTCCCTCTTTCCCCCCACATACAGCTCACTGTTGGTCAGGCAACAGCAGCTAAGTTCCCTCGCACCGCTCTTCAGAGTCAGACTGTCTCCAGCAGCAAGAGCTCCTCCAGCCAGCCTAGAGGCCCCTCCTCCTCCTCCTTTCACATCCACTCCATCAAAGTTGTGGACTAACACACAAACTTGCTCATTTATGGTCTGGTCTGGATACTGTAATTCGAAGTATTTAATTTGTCAGGTTTAGAGGCTTTAAATTAGGTGCATACATGAAGTACAAAATTATTTATTTTTTATCATAAGGTTGAAATGAAGGTAAGATGTTTATATACTAAATTTGCCAAATGAACACTTTTAATTGAAGAAACATTTATTACGTGATATGGTTTTTTATTTAATAAAAAATGTTTGTATTGGTGTCACCTTTTACTTTATAATGTTTTACAAAGCCACAATCAAAATCTGTACGTTTTTTTAATGTATTAGTTTGGAGTGTATCTTAATTCACAGGTTTTATTTAAGTTAGATGCAATCTCCATGCGTCTCAATTAGAAAATAATGCAACATTTTTCTGTAGCAACTTGGATTCATGAAACTGTGCATTTCCTTGCATCAACGTTTGTTCCATCCATTCTTATTTTTTCTGGGGATGAGACAAAAATATATGTTATGAGATTTCACTCTTTCCTTTCTGCTATTTTTAATGTAAGGGACATTATAAATGACTGTAAAACACACACTCTATTAAATGTACCATTTAAAAGCAAATACTATACCGTTTATTACTGATGGTTCCTTCAAGACATTGAAACCAAAAATAACGGCATTCTGTAAAGATGAGTAAAAACATCCTACCAGCAATCTTTGTAATCCCAACAGAAAGCAGTCCCTCATACAGGCCTTTGGCTGGGTTGCTTCCTTCTATCATGACTCTATGAAGCCAAATCAGAAGCATCCTGTTCCCATGCTCTTTGAAACTGTCAGGACCTAGATACAGCAAAACGGGAGTCTCTGAATCAGGTGCATCTGTAGTTTAATACATTTGAGATTTCAATCACTTTTGTTTGATTTGTTCAGTCTGTAAATTGCCAATAAACTTTATTTGCAATGGGCGTTATAATTTCGAATGTGTGTATATATACACTCACCAAAAAGATTATTAGGAACACCTGTTCAATTTCTCATTAATGCAATTATCTAATCAACCAATCACATGGCAGTTGATTCAATGCATTTAGGGGTGTGATCCTGGTCAAGACAATCTCCTGAACTCCAAACTGAATATCAGAATGGGAAAGAAAGGTGATTTAAACAATTTTGAGCGTGGCATGGTTGTTGGTGCCAAACGGGTTGGTCTGTGAATTTCACAATCTGCTCAGTTACTGGGATTTTCACACACAACCATTTCTAGGGTTTACAAAGAACGGTGTGAAAAGGGAAAAACATCCAGTATGCAGCAGTCCTGTGGGCGAAAATGCCTTGTTGATGCTAGAGGTCAGAGGAGAATGGGCCGACTGATTCAAGCTGATAGAAGAGCAACTTTGACTGAAATACAACCGAGGTATGCAGCAAAGCATTTGTGAAGCCTCAAAACGCACAACCTTGAGGCGGATGGGCAACAACAGCAGAAGATCCCACTGGGTACCACTCATCTCCACTACAAATAGGAATTGGTTTCTTGGCACACTTTAGGCCCCTTGGTGCCAATTGGGCATTGTTTAAATGCCACGGCCTACCTGAGCATTGTTTCTGACCATGTCCATCCCTTTATGGCCACAGGATAATCCACCATGTCACAAAGCTTGAATCATTTTAAATTGGTTTCTTGAACATGGCTATGAGTTGACTGTACTAAAATGGCCCCCACAGTCTCCAGATCTCAACCCAATAGAGTATCTTTGGGATGTGGTGGAAAGGGAGCTTCATGTCCTGGATGTGCATCCCACAAATCTCCATCAACTGCAGGATGGTATCCTATCAATATGGGCCAACATTTCTAAAGAATGCTTTCAGCACCTTGTTGAATCAATGCCATGTAGAATTAAGGCAGTTCTGAAGGCAAACACAGTATTAGTATGGTATTCTTAATAATCCTTTAGGTGAGTGTGTGTGAAATTATATATATATATATATATATATATATATATACACACACACACACTCACCTAAAGGATTATTAAGAATACCATACTAATACTAATACTACACACACACACACACACACACACACACTTGTAATTGAAATTATTCAACGCCCATTACAAATCAAGTTTATTGGCAATACAGACTAAACAAGTGAAACAGAAGTAACTGAAATAGCTCACAACAAAAGCCCCTGTGCTTGAGACAAAACCTGTTTTGCAGATTTGTGCTGTTCCGAGGGATTCTATTCACAGGGTTGAATAAATTTGAGACTGCATTATATTATATTTCATATCTGAAGGGGCTAGATTTGTTCCAAGTGTCATGTTTGACTGTTAGAAATATGGCCCAAAAAGGAAAGATATCAAAAAGAGAAGATATCATCGCCCTACACAAACAAGGAAGTCTAGTCCCAGACTAAAATGCCTGTTGAACTGAAAGCAACTTGTACAGGGATATCTGAAAATATGTCAGTGCCATTGTTTTGTCTCTAGATATATTAAGTTTTTCTGCAAGTGAGATGAGTAAATGCATGTTTACATTGGTCTAGAACTACAATAAGCTAATATCCAAATACACAACACCTCTGTAACTACCAATTTTTCTCTTGTAATGCGTAACCCCCAACACTGGTGGTACAGTACATTTCAGAGTAATATCATTAGTTTCATTCATCAGTTATAGAGAGCCTAATTCCCTCCCCAGGACCTTATTTCGAAAAAAAAAAAAAAAAAATTGTATGGTAGTCAATGGCGAGAGATAACAAATACTTGCGACTTCATGACTTTCAAAATTATCTTTTAAATTGACAAACATCAAATGTGTAATTCAGGGCACAGTTCAGACGTAATAAAAAGATAAGTTGTCTCTCGCCATTGACTACAATGCATATTTTTTTTTTCTGAAATAAGCTAGGTCGCATGAACCGGAAGCTGAGGAGAGGGACTTAGGCTCTCTCTATTAGCCTAAGATTGTCTGTTGGTGCTGCTGAACTCCCTGTTAGGGGTTAATTTTGAGGCTCTTCTGAACATAAAGATAAGATTATATAGAAGATCTGATGGTAAAGCATTTCGCTCTGACCTGTCCACTGCTCTTCGATGGCAGCCACCTGATCCTCTGTGAACTCCCAGAGCTCTGCCAACTTCTTCCAGTCATTGCGCTTAAGGTGTTTGTATGCAAGCTCCCATATCATATCACGCAGCGGATTCGTGTCAGGGGAGTGATCTAATTTGAACGTCAATGGTGATTCGTTGTGAAGGCTCTCAATGGCATCTGTATTATTCTGAAAGGGTAATCAAATAACATCAAGCTCTGAGAAAGGCCAGATTCGCCAGGTGCTGAAATTAGCACAGGTATACAGCACTCTGAATATTATTACTCCATGTTCGCTGTTGTTAAGATGATCATTTTTGACATATGCAATCCTTGTGCAAATAAATGGCCTGTGGTGACCTTTCTGAATGGAATTATACACGCTTTAAAATTGCATTACACTTCCGGCACTGGGTTTAATAGAGAGTGGCTGAGGTTATAGCAGCACGTGACATTTGCCGGGAGGAAAATGTTCGTCCCACTCTTTTACAACACACAATACCATTTATTTCATGGTTTGCTTTGATCAAATTGGAAATCTGAATACCCACCATTTGATAATTGCACTTCCATCTGAAATATCTCTCAGCTTTGATGATCATGTCCACAATTATAACCATATTTCCCCTCGCCGCCACTCCAAGAACTGTTTTATTTTGCTGTAAAGGATAATATATATATATATATATATATATATATATATATATATATATAACATGTCAAGCAAATATATATATATATATATATATATATATATATATATATATATATATATAACATGTCAAACACGGTCTGTCACCCTGTCCTGAATCTCCAGATCCACCTCGGCTTTCAGAATCATCTCGACCACATCCACCTTCCCCATCTCAGCAGCGATATGGAGTGCAGTTTGTCCCATCTGAGTGTGTTGAATGAATAAAAAAAATACTGAAACATGAATGCAATGACAAATATCATTACATAAATGATGGATAAAAGAAGGTGAGTAGACGCACATGATCTGTAATGTTTGGATCACAGCCAGCCTCAAGTAGGGTGTGGATTACGGGGATATGACAGTTCTTCACTGCTAGATGGAATGGAGTTTGCATATGCTGAAAGATTGGAAAAATTGTATATGCGTGTTATATAATATGTCTATGTGTGGGTGTGTGTGTGTGTATACACACACAAACACTGTGCTAATATTAGTTATTGAAGTACAGTAGCTAACATAACAAAAAGACAATTCATTTACAGCATTCAGTATTCTTTGTTAATGTTCATACACATTTGAAACATTTCAAGTTAAACATCAGTTAGTGTTTTATAAAATGAACATTCATTGGTGTTATTATTATCATCAATGCTGAAAACAGTTATACTGGTACATTTTTGTATTGCTTTATTAAATGTCTTTACTATCACTTTTGATAAATCTGATCCGTCCTTGCTGAACATTTGTATTAATTTCTTCCTCTACCCCAAATTGTTTTAACAATAGTGTACATTAAAGCTATCTGAAGTCAATCTTTATTTTCCTAAAATAAAATAAGTTCAGTTATTGATCTCTTCATCTAGATACTTTAATTACAATGTTTATTACACATCTGAAATATTCTCGTGTATAGATTAGTGTGCAAGATGGATGTGAATAGCATCAACAATTTCAGGCAGCAGAAAAAAAAAGTGAAATGACATTTCCCACCTGGTCTTGAGCGTTTATTTGGGCTCCACTATTCAGGAGGAGTTTTACAATTGGAAAGTGTCCCCTCTCACAGACTGGATGCAGAGGGCTGCTTCTGCTCTGAAAATCATCACAGGTTAGCCTACCATCCTCTAAGAAACAATGCTGAATAGGTTTTATATTTCATAAATTCATTAAATCTCAAATAGTCTGAGTCTGTCATTATTATCCAGTAGTAGCTTATCAAAAGGAGTGTTTAAAATCATCCCCTCAGTACATACTAAGGTAAAGATGTTTGGGTCACATTGTGCCTCCAGAAGGGCTTGTACACAGTCCTCATGAGCTCCATCTGCAGCCAGATACAGAGCGGTCTGCCCTGCCTACACACACATAGCAAAGAAGTCATATCAATGCGTCTCACTTTCTGTGTGATTCTGGAACAAGTGTTGATAATGCCTAAAAGGACAGATTATTACCTGGTTGACATCATTGCGAATGTCAAAGTTGTCTAGAAGTAGGTGCAGCGTTTCATGTTGACCGTGCTTTGCTGCCAGATGCAAAGGTGTGTCTCCAACCTGTCAATAAGAAAGGAAAAGAATTACACTCAAAATCAGGTCCTGCTATAATTAAAATAATAATACAAAATACATAAAGGTTTTGAAATTGCTTCTATTTAAAAAAACTATGTGCATGGAATTACAGCTTTAATTCATTTCTGTAATTACATGTAAAATTACACCATTGACCCTTCCCTTACCTCTTAAACCACCCAAACCTGATCTCAAATAGTGGCAAAAGTGCTTTGAAACAATGCATAAACACAGTAAGTAGCTACATTGCACCTAAAAATTTCTTTGGTGCAAGTAGTAGTTAAAGACACCTTTTATAAAGTGTGAACAAAAATGATTGCATGCAGCTAAAACATCCACATTTTTTTATTTTATTTTTTTGTATTAAACAAACCATTTATAAACTAAAGGATTCAATAAATGAACCTTATTTTCCTCCATGGTGGCCATGTTATAAGGTTCCTCCATCAGCATCTGTAGCATGCGAACACAGCCGTGTGCTGCGGCCAGGGCAAAGGGTCTGTTACCATACTGACAGAAGAACAACACACTTTATCTTTGTGTGTATTGAAGGTCTCTAATAGGGACATTATCTTTATATTATCTAACTTTTTTATTCTGATTATTGTTGTTTTTAATATAAGATGAGCTGCTGTTTCCTTACTTGTTCTTCTTTGTCAAGTTCTCCCATTTGCAGGTCATCAACGATGTACTCTACAATATCAGTGTGATTGTTCATGGCAGCGCAGTGCATCATGTTCAGGCCCTCCTGAACACACAATGATTTACATTAAGCTCTAAAATATCCTAAATGTTTACCTTTATGAGTAACCTGTATGAGGTGTTACAATTGCAATGACACATGTTGTCTCTGACTTTTAATGACTTTTGCAATGTACACAATTCCAATGTAAAACAAATATGGTTTAAAACATTCAGAATGATATTTACAATATGTAAATCTTGCTGAGTAAAGACAATTTTCCAGATAATAAAAAAGGTAAACATTTAAAAGTGAAATTAATATGAATTTATTTAATAAATCAATTTATGTTAATTCACACAAATTCAATAATTTTAATGCAGCTATTGAGGGCTATTGAATAATTAACACTTGATGTGTGCATATTCTTTCTAATAATTCAAAGGTCATCCTCAATTATACTTTTTTTGTATATTGTAATTATTTCAGTAAGATTATACACTAATATATATATATATATATATATATATATATATATATATATATGAAGAGTTCAGATGCAAAAGCCTCTAAGTGCCATTTGAAATTTTCTTCTAAAATGATCATTTTTATCAAGCTTGTATATTTAAGTTCAGTAATTTCACTTAAATGGCAATGAAGATTACCTATTAATTGTCATTTAAGTGAAATTACTGAACTTAAATATACAAGCTTGATAAAAATGGTCATTTTAGAAGAAAATTTCAAATGGCATTTAGAGGCTTTTGCATCTGAACTCTTCATATATATATATATATATATATATATATATATATATATATATATTAGTATAATGTAACTGAAATAATCAATAACATGTATCACCTCACCGTATTTTCAACGCTTTGGTCAGCTCCACTTTGAACAAGTAACTTGAGGATTTCCAAACTCCCAAACCACGCTGCTAAGTGAATAGCAGTCAGTCCATGCTGCAGAAACACAGTATGAGTACCATTATTGATGTTAAGGGTAACAGGGTAAATCATTAATGCTTGGGCAAACATAGGCTACCTTATCTTGTAAATCTAGTTTGGCTCTCCTTCGAAGGAGCATATCCACAACTTCCACATTTCTGAAGGCCACGGCATAATGAAGAGCAGTTCGACCGTGCTAACAGGAGACACAAGATTCACAAGAACCACTCCGAGAAGGTGAACAAACATATCTGTATTTGCTACTGGAAAAAAAAACTGCACACCTGTGTAAGTTAGATGTTTATTGACATACCACATTCTTGGCATTGACATTAACGCCTCTCACTAGAAGCTTCATGCCCTCCACGTCGTTTCTCTTTGCTGCTTCTATGAAGTCTTTCTCAACCTCCAGCACTGTATGGGTCAAATCATCAGTTCAATAGTACTGACAAGAACTTTACAAAAAGTATTGTGGTAGCACCATGGTAGTAGAGTGATGTAGGATATTAGATGGCATGATTATCATATTTATATTGGTTCAACATTTACATGGTATTTACACTGGAGTACAAGTGTATTGCATGGTACTTTTTGTAGACTACAGGAAAAACAAGTAAAATATTAAAGCATCAACTATTATATTTGGTGGGATGAGTTAATATCACTTTTTTATTATATAATGAGCAAATACATCATGAATTCACTATCCAAACAATTGTTGTCTTATACTGAATCACTATATGGTACACCTACTGTATAATAAGAGTTTATATTCAGACTATTTTAGACTGGTTCGGATCATCACCGTTGTGGAGTAGCCCAGCAGCAAAAGTTTTTTAAAAAAAAGGCAAACAAGTAACAAAACAAGTAAACAATGGCAATTTTTGGAGTAGGCCTATGTAAAAGCAAAAGCGTAAAATTGTCTGCTAAATGTAAATGTCAATGTAAAACAATTCTGCTGTTCAAATTCAACATCTTAAAAGGTTTAAATCATTATTTTACAACTAGTTTTAGACTTGGATTGTCAAAGTAAGAAAGTTGCAAAATTCTATATAACTATACACAGAAAAGGTTGATTTTTTTCCACACTAAGACATAACACATACTGTTTCTGGCTTGTTGTTATACTATTAAAACAATGAGCAATTTAACTTCACAGATTGGTCCTATTATAAATGCCTCACTGTAACCTAGATTCAAACTTCAAATCAAGTTTTATGATTTTACATGTACCTCATAATTTTGAAAATATAGGCTATTCAGATCGAATACAAAATTGTTTGCTAATTTTCTTGACAATTATTAACATGTATATTCAGGACATTTTATCAGCTAATAGTACAGAGAATCAACATAAGTGTAAAACAGAAAAGATATCATAAGGATATTCAAGCAGGATGGTCTATACTCACACATCTCCTTACTATCATAACCGCCATCTTCACCAATATCCTTTGGCAAAATAAAGTCAGTGAAACCTTTGACGTGGTCTGATTTTAACCATGTTTTGGGATTAAGATTCTCCTTCTTCCAAACAGGCTGCTTCAGTATGTAGTCTTTTAGGGCTTGAGCTCTCCTCTCCATAGTATTGTACTGGTTGCATGCAAGCTCTTTGCTTCAAAGACTTGTGCTCTGTAAAATATATCAGCTGGATGGTTTTGTTTGCATTGAGAGCTCACGCCCAAAGATGTGTGCTCTCACCCACACTGTCAGAAAAAAAGGTACGAAAGCTGTCACTGGGGCGGTACCTTTTCAAAAAGGTACACTTTTGTACCTAAAGGGTGCATATTGGTACCATAATTGTACAAATATGTACCATGAAGGTGCCAATATGCACTCTTTAGGTACAAAAGTGTACCATGAAGGTACCAATAACTGTTCAAAGGTTTAGGGTCAGCAAGAAATGAAAGAAATTATTTTTTTTTTTCAACTTTTTTTCAAAAGAGACAGTAAACACCGTGGCAAGGGGGCATGGTCTAGCGAAGTCTGACAGGAGAGAGGATCGGGAGACAGGTGCGGCGTGAGTGGTTGGGTCAAGTGCAAATGATAAACACCTGTATCTTGTTTCTGTGATTGGTGTGGAGAGACTGCATATAAGCGAAGGGGAATTTCGCTCTCCACCAGTGGAATTACCCTTTAATCTTCTGTGTGGGAATACTGAAAGAGATCCTACTGACCAGGGCATGACATTTATGTCACACTATTACGCAAACTTTACGAGTTGCTGGGCATTAAGTTGATTCTTACCAGGCGTCTATAACGCACAAACAGACGGATTGGTCGAATGATTTAATCGCACATTAAAGGCCGTGATTTGTAAATCATGGATTCTCTCAATAGAGAATTTGTTACAGGCCCAGGGCAGACAGACCCAGTTATACAACAGGGGAACCCGACTGAGAGAATTTTCACTGGGAGATAACGTCCTTATATTGCTCCCTACGTCGAGTTCTAAATTACTCGCAAAGTGGCAAGGTCCCTTTGAGGTCACACAGCGAGTAGGCGATCCCAGGTATGGATAGGAACAGATAGGAATGGGGCACGTCAAATTTACCACCTCAACCTCCTTAAAAAAATGAAGTGAAGAGGTGGTGACAGTGATTAGTGCGCAATCACTCACACTAGCCCCGGGAGGAGATCATCTTTCAGCATCCTAGATTGCTGACGTAGTCTGGTTGCCGGCAGAATTTGCCAACGTGTTCTCGGCCCTACCCGGTCGAACCAATCTTATTCAGCACCATGTTGCGATGGAGCCGGGCGTAGTCATACGCTGTTGGCCCTATAAGTTACCTGAACAAAAAAAGAAAGTGGTTAAGGCGGAATTAGAGGTCATGCTTGACATGAGCGTAATAGAAGAATCCCACAGTAACAGGGCGAGCCCGATAGTTACCCCCAAGTTAACGCTGTGTTGAAGTTTGATGCGCATCCAATGCCGCGGATTGATGAACCGCTTGATCGGCTGAGTACCGCTCGCTTTTATTCGACACTGGACATAACAAAAGGATACTGGCTGATCCCCTTTGTCCAAAGAAAAAACAGACTTTACCACGCAGTTTGGGTTACACCAATTCGTCACACTTCTGTTCGGGTTGTTCGAGGCTCCAGCTACGTTTCAGCACCTCATGGACCAAATTCTTAGGCCCCATACTGCATATACCGCTGCCAAATTGGATGATTTCGTCATCTATAGTAACAACTGGCATAGGCATAATTATGGAGCATGTGCGCACTGTCCTGAGAGCGCCGACATTGGCTGGGCTCACGGCCAACCCAAAGAAGTGTGCGGTTGAGTTCAGATATCTGGGCTTCCACTTGGGTCACGGACAGGTTTGCCCCAAATTGATAAGACAGCAGCCGTTGCTACTTGCTCGAGGCCCAAGACCAAAAAGGAAGTTTGTGCCTAATTATTCAGACTTTGCCACCCCGCTAATTGATCTCACTAAAAAGGAAGCACTGACCCGATCCAGTGGACGGAGCAGTGTCAGCAGTCCTTCACCCAAGTAAAGGCTGCTCTATATGGCAGCCGACTGTTACACTCTCCTAACTTTTCTCTCCCTTTCTTGTTGCAGACTGGTGTGTCGGACAGGGGGCTGGGAGCGGCCCTGTCCCAGGAGATAGAGGGTGAGGAGCAGCCGGTGCTGTACATTAGTTGCAAGCTCTCCAATAGAGAGACTAAGAACAGCACCATTGAAAAAGAATGTTTAGCTATCAGATGGGCAGTTCTTACTCTCCGCTACTATCGCCTGGGACGGGAATTCACCCTCTGTTCGGACCACATGCCCCTCCAGTGGCTCCACTGCATAAAGGATACCAACGTGCGGATCACCTGTTGGTATCTAGCTTTACAGCCTTTTAAGTTCCAGGTGGTCCACAGATCCAGGAGGAGGGGGAAGGCTGTAGGCCAGACGCTCCCTGGCCTGAGTGCGGCGGTGGCGGTATGTGGCAGGGGGGGGCGTGGTCTAGCGAAGTCTGTGACAGTAGAGAGGATCGGAACACAGATGCGGTGTGAGTGGGTCAAGTGCAAATGACAAACATCTGTGTCTTGTTTCATTAGCTACGTTTACATGGACACAATCGGAATGAAATCAATACGATTGATGAATCTGATCAAGGTGTTTACATGAATGATAAATCAAGTGATCGGGTTGATGTGCGGGTTTATATGTCACAAGATTCAAATCTTCTTTGACATGCGCACACTGCACGGATATGCCATTACTGTTCACGCATAAGCATAACTATTCTCCCCTATTTGTTCTGTTTTTGACTTCATATTTATCCATCTCTGGTCATGATTTGGAGACGATGAGCATGAGCCGTTTTGCCGTGCTGATAGTATTTATCACGCAGTAAAATCCCGCGCCCAAAAGTCGTGTGTGGATGAGAATCTAAAACAAGATGGGACATTGTCCTGCTTCACTTCACAGACATGGAGTGAAATGAGAATTTTTTTAATAACGGAACAGTCATTTATATGACACTTTATCGTCATATCGGCACGTCATACGTCCTTTTAGTTTCGGTTTTCAATCAAGTGTTTACATGTTCTCTCGCTCGGATTACAAAAGGAGTAAACCACCCCTTTCATTCCGATCGAAATTCTAGTCGGATCGAGCTCAATTGGATCGATGTGTTTACATGAAGGCTTTTAGTCCGATTGAGCCGTCAATCCGATTACAAGGGTCCATGTAAATGCAGCTAGTGATTGGTGTGGAGAGACCGCATATAAGCGATGGGGAAACATTGTTCGAGAGAGACACCTGGGAGACTTGTCGTGTGGATTAGCACGGAGAAAGGACTGTGAAGATAGCATGAGAGAGGGATTTTGGTTCGTGTGTGATGTGTCGATTTTGCCGTGTGGCTGAGCACCACACACTGTACAACCACACTGTTAAACCAGTGATTTTGTTTATTTTTTATCACCATGTGTGGGGTCTCTCAGGTTTGGAAAATTGGCGGACAATTTTAAAATCGTCCCATGTGAACCATAGCCTGGGAAAACCCAGACAACTTCCGGCAAATTTAGATTTGCACTGAAAGTTAGTCTGGCAAAGAGCTCATTCAAGGCCATTTCCAATCCGCTGAAATCGTGGCACCAATCAGAAACCTTGGGGCGGGCTTTACACGATGACGACAGCACAGTGACAGTGAAGCACATTTTGAACATTTACAAAGGGGTGTGACGGTTATTGTTGAACACTGACATTAGAACTCGATAACCGCCAAAACCATGTTTTTAAAATATTTTTTTCACAAACATTTTTTATCATAGACAATGTTAAAATACTAATATCAGCTTACGAGGGAAACGGAGGCCGAGTTAGTGGTGTTTCAAAGACTTCAAAGACTGCTACTGCTGGAGATGATTCGGGAGAAGTCTGTGCACCTTTATACCGATCAGAGCACGCGCTGACACGGAGTAAAGCCTTGTTTTAGACTCGACGCGTCCACACGAGCGCGAAGGTGTGCGGCAAAAATGCCGCATTCGGTGCGCAAGACCGACCTCATTTCCCTTAGCTGTGTGCATGGCTTTTTTTGTTTTTTTTTGTCCGAGGCCGTACGTCTCACACATAGACAGTAAGGTCTCACCATACAGGTGTGTCTAAATTGCAAAGTTCATTACAAAGTTTTTTTTTTGTTAAGGTTTTGTTTACTGTGTGTGATAATGGAAAGCACATTCACTTAGAGTTGTCTTGCTGTTAATTTTAAATAAATATAGAGCAAGTAGCTATTCAGATTGTCTGCTCATTTATTCAAACCTTGCTCTGCATACGTCATCTCCTTCAGCGCTCTGATTGGTTTTAGGTCTATCCAATTGCGCCTTTGAGACATTTGATCTACGTCCGTTGGTGACGCCCCTCTGGAAATGATTTGTCTATGAAGCTTTGCCAGACCATAACTCGGTTACAAACTGAGATGGTCTGGTTTTAACCAGGTTATGTGAACCAGGCTTTACAAAAAAAAAAAAAAAATCTAATTAATGTTTGTTGTTTTGAACTCTATTCATCAAGGAATCCTGAAAAAATGGTTTCCGCAAAAATATTAAGCAGCACAACTGTTCTCAACATAAAAAATCATTAAAAAAACATTAAAAAAAGCAACATTTAAAAGTCATTAAAATCTTTTTAAACTTATTTTCAAATCATAAGAGCATAAGAGACTTCTTTCAAAAATATTTAATACATTTTACCAACCCTAAACTTTTTGAATGATAGTGTACTTCTCATTGCTTTTTGCGTGAAGTTTAAACCTGTTTAAATGGTTTACAAACTAAGAAAAAAAAAAAAAAAAACACCCTGATATATTTCCATCCTTCAAAACACCATTGTAAGATTAAGCACAATTAATCAATTAGGACAATTTTTAATTATTTGTTTTTGTTTTTTTACATGTTTTACATTTTTTTCATTAATTTGATGTGCAAATACGAAAATACAATTACAATTCTGAATGTGTACAATTATGATACTTTTGTATATATTTGTTATTTAGATGGTGATCTTGAG